CTTTTCGAAATGCGAGCAGCTGGGCGGTCCGGAGCATTAAGACGCGGCGCTGACTTGCTCTTGTTTTTCCGCCATCTTGTTGATTGTGTGTGTGTGTGTTTCTACTAATGGGGGCTCAATGTGCTGGAGTGCTGTGTTTATGAAATGTTTGGCCTGCGTGTCGGTCATACGATAAACTCCGTAGTCGCCAACACGCGTCCTCACGTGAGCCCCACATGATGCCCAGGTGGGGCCATCCATAGCTACAACTCTACCCTAGGGATGCTTTGTGACAAAGGCAAATTCACGAGCTCAAGAATATATTTTAGTGAGTATTGCAACCGTGCCATCAACGCACAGACTAATGAACCTCTGCAGGAATTTTTCCTTACCACTAACAAGCGAATCTGTTCGAGCTCTCCTGTGAAAGGAAGAACGGCAACAGCGGATCGAGTGCACCGCCATGTCATTGTTCGGGACTACGATAAGCCTATATACATGGCGAGTTCCAGGGCTAGCGTACTGGCTGCCCTAGAAGGTTGCATCGCGGGATACGAGTCGCTTTATGCGCGGGCCGGCATGCTACGATGCGATATCTCGCCGAACAACCTCACGGTGAACGAGGATAAAGACAACCCCCTCCTGGCACGCCTTTTTGATCGGCCTAGACCTTGCTATCAAGGAGGATTTCGAGAAACCGTCAGGGGCACGAGGGAAGATGGGCACGCGAGCGTTCATGGCGATCAGGATACTCCACGACGATGACCAGCATTCTTTCATGCACGACCTAGAATCTTTCTTTTGGGTGCTATTTTGGATATGCATTCATTGCGACGGGTCGCAGGCAAGAGTGGTCCAAGAATTCGATACATGGAACTATGCGAACATGGAGGTGCTAGCCCAGCAAAAGCTGGGCATAATATCAGACGATCGCATGTTTCGCAACGCTACCCTCGAACACTTCACAGACTATTATCAGCCGCTGATCCCCTGCGTTGACGAACTGCGGAGAAAGATATTCCCTCAAGGTAGAAGATGGGAAGTTCCGAACCCGAAGCTGTACTCGGATATGAGGAAGATTCTTTGGGCAGCACGAGAGAAGATGGAGAAGATGGAGAAGATGGAGAAGATGGAGAAGATGGAGAAGATGGAGAAGATGGAGAAGACGGAGAAGATGGAGGGGTAAAGAGATGTAAAAATTAGCAGAGACATCCGAATTATAATCAGCTAATAACACAGTGCAGGCCATATGAGTAGAAGCTGGCCCATACGCACCTAATCAATAGGCAGACTGCACACACTTGGCATATGTACTTCAGCCCCGTGGCGACGCAGATGAGGGACATTCAAGGCAATTTTGTTTGGGCTGATGGTGAGCATCATCGAAGCAGACATCTAGCTTGCACAGCGTTACGGTGACCTGCAAAACCGGTTTACCGGAAACAGGAACCGTAGTAAATTTATTATAGGAATTAAGCCAAGAATTCATGCAGTTGAATGACTCCAGGAGCCTGTTCGCAAGTGTTAGCTTCTGTTCAATATTGATGCCGCTGGCCCTAATGTGATGTGCGTTTTAAGCCGTCTCCTTCACTTTGTGTGCAGACTTTTGCGAAAATGGCTTGATGTCTTCTAAGAAAGATTTGCGCGGCGATATTGGCAAACTAAGTGCTAGAAAAGGCGTGCTTCATCGCCAGCTTCGAGAGGGAATCGGGAAAACTTTGACCCGCTTTGGCAGTGCGGGGTATTGAAAGTTGAAAGTCTTGACTTCTAGCTTGTGACGTTTTTACCATGTTTGTCGCACAAAACAAATCCAATCGCCAAATCGTGCAAGGAAAACTTGTGATATTGTAATTGTAATAAACTTGTGGCACATTAAGGAGTCCCAGCAACTTGTTTGAATGTCACAATACGAATCTCGGGACAAATGCGACAAGAGCCAAGCATGTACAGGACCTGGGACCATCCACAACCCGCACAAGTGCTACGACTCATTCGACCCCGGAATGAATAGGAAGAACTGATCATCCCAATCTCCATGAGAAGTTACATCGTACCGATGCTGCGGCTTTCACATATTTGGCTCAAATGGCTCCGCAGAGAATGCTTATGCTAATACGCCTTGTAACACACTTATACTCGAGGCGTCTTTAGATCGTTGAGGAATTTCCGTGATGGTCTATTCTGCCCTTTTTTACACACTGGATTTCTCGTGTATACGCATCGGTTCTGATACTTCTTCTTAGTGCAAATTAAATTCAATACGAAAGATGTCTAAAGGCAAAACGGAGCAGCAAGGCAGGCCTCATGGCTTCGAACCTCTGTTCAGGCTGACTCCTTTTAGGTACGCCATCTGACAATGGACCAAGCAACACGCTCTCGCTTGAGGCTCTTCAGAGCGACGAACAGCGCCTTGTTCTTGATACAGTGGCCCAGGTCCGCAAATGTGGGCTAGAAAGCATTTTGGCTCTCCCCCAACTTGTTGTTTGTGGCGATCAGTCCGCCGGGAAAAGCTCTGTTCTTGAAGCTCTTACTGAAATACCGTTTCCCCGAAATGACGAGTTATGTACCCGTTTTGCAACTGAAATCATCATGCGGCGCGCAACGATTGAGTCCTTGACCATCAAGGTGATACCAGATGATGAACGATCAAGTGCTGAAAAGGAGACAATACAAGCATTCACAGAAACCATTACAGATTTTGAAGAGCTACCAGAAATCATGGACAAGGCAATGGTAGTCATGGGAATAGGTGGAGTTGGGTCGCAATCGAGCGCTTTCGCCAGGGACGTACTGAGCGTCGAGATCGAAGGTCCATCTCGACCTCAACTGACTTTGGTCGATTTGCCTGGTCTTATTCAGAACGAGACCAAAGGGGTCACTAAGGCTGACGTGGAGCTCGTTCAAGAAATCACAGATCGATATATTTCGCAATCTCGGACGATCATCCTAGCCGTCGTGTCCGCCACCAATGATTACGCGAATCAAGGCATCCTCACAAAGGCTCGGAAGGTAGACCCAAACGGAGAACGCACACTTGGCATCATTACAAAACCGGACAGACTTCCTGCTGGTTCAGGAAGCGAAAGTGCTTACATTAGCTTGGCTCGCAATGAGGATATTTTTTTCAAATTGGGTTGGCATGTTGTCAAGAATCGAAGCTTTGAGGAAGGGGCAAGCTCCTTCGCAGAACGTAACGCAGCTGAAGCATACTATTTCCGTCATTCAAACTTCAACTGCTTACCAAAAGGAACCGTTGGCATCGATTCGCTAAGAGAACGACTGAGCAAACTCCTCTTTGGGCACGTCAAGCAAGAGCTTCCTAAGCTGCACGAAGATCTCAATAATGCCCGCACAGACTCGAAACAGCAGCTCCACCTGTTGGGTAATCGTCGCTCATCGCCAGCAGACTGTAGAGAATACCTGATGCAGCTTAGCCTCGACTTCAATAAGGTGTCCGGTGCTGCAGTGAAAGGACAGTACGAAGGAATACACTTCAAATATGACCCAGGTGCTAGTTTCACGCCGGAGTCGTCTTGTGCCGTTCGTCGACTGCGAGCTATGGTCCAATTGCTGAATTCTAAATTTTCTGAAAAGCTCAGAAAGGCTGGGCACACATATGTCCTTCAGAGGACAGGCGAGATCACGGCTTCCGAGCTCGAGCGGGGAATCCCAATACCAACCCCGGATTCGACTAAGCCAGTCAGATTGTCACGCAATGATTCACTCCGGTGGGTCATCAAGGCTATAACTCGTAACCGAGGAAGAGAACTCCAAGGCAACTTCAACCCCCTTATCATCGGAGAGCTTTTCTGGGAGCAGTCGGCCAGGTGGGGTAGCATTGCTACCGACCACATTGAAGATGTTGTTGATGTATGTCGACGATTTCTTCACAATTTGCTTTCAGAACTCTGTCCCAAGGGAAGTCCAGTCTCGCC